TGCTGAACCTGGTGAGGGAAGTAAAACCCAAGACCTGAGGGCCTGGCCCAGGTCTTGAACCCCGTACTTGTAGCACCTGACCCCGGTACCCCAGCCCAGGCCTAGCACCCAGTATGTGTGTGACCACACCCCTGATCAGGTCCCAGCACCTGCCCTTAGCACCCTGCTCCAGCCCTGGTCCCAGCACCTCACCCCAGGACTTGGCCCTCAACCACCATTACCCGCTCCTACCCTGTGCAAATAAACTTGTGTCTGGAAGCCCACCTACAACCTTTCATTTTGCTACAGCAAGGCCCCCAGGAAGAGGAGAAAATCTCAGGGTAGAGCCATAGTTCCATTTATTATCCAGCAAACAGTAGGAGGACCAGAGAAGGGGCCCAGCCTGGACACCCTCCCATTATTGCCATGGATTGCTTCCCCAACCTCGAGGGCCTGGAGGCGCTTGGCCTAGGGGGCGGTGGACCCAGCCCCGACCGCTGGGATGGAGCAAAGTCCAGATGGCCCTGGCCCTAGCACCAACTCATGAATCCCCCACCCCAGGCCTGTCTACCGAGGGCCAGCAGAGCCCCTCTTGGAGCCAGGCCGACCAGACTCTGGGCTGCTGGGTCCAGCTCCAGACAGGCTGGACTCTTGAGTTCTGGACCCCAGGCTGGCTGGACCCTGGGATCCCAATTCCAGGTTCCAAGTGGGGTGGTCTTAAGTCCCAGACTCCGGCCTAGGCCAAGGGCCTTCAGGGCTGCAGCAGGTAGCTGCCTTCATGGCTGAGCTTCTGGGGTGGGGGCGCCTTCTCGGGACAGGGGCCAGGGCTGGAGTTGGGACTGGATTCGGAGAGGGAGTCGATGTTGGCAGAACGGGAGTGGCAGGCCCAGCAGAGAATGACCCAGAGCAGCAGCAGCAAGAAGCCTACGAGGCCGTTGCAGATGATGGCGATGAGGGCCCCCTGGGAGATGGCTGCCCCCATGACGGGCAGTACCCTCAGACAAGCACAGACTGAGAAGCTGCCTCAATGGCAAGGCCCATGCCGAGGCGGGACTCCGGTATAGCCAGCCTTCCAAGGAGGCTGTCCTGTCCACACACTCAATGATTCCCGGACAGTGAAGACGTCCGCCTGCAGTTCTCAGCCTGTGGGGGGTAGAGAGCAAAGGCAAAGGGTGGTGAGGAGGAAGGGGTGGGGTTAGGCCTAGGAGGAGAGGCGTAGGGAAGACAGCCCGCTCCCACACCTCTGGCCTCCCAGCAGGCCTCAGTATCCCACAGAGCCAACACCTGGCTCTGGGCACCTGGATGGGGGTGTGGCTACTGTGGGGAAAGCTGCACTAGGCAGCCTATAACTCATTCTCCTTTTGACCAGTGGGCATGGCCTGGCCTGGCCCTGCCCACTGAACATCCAGCCCTCAGAAGAACTGTGTGAGTGGGTGGGATTGAGGAAGCCCAAGGCCTTGAAGGATGGGCACTGTAACCAGCTTCGGTGTGGCCTGGGCACCTCCCCCGACTCAGGACTCCAGCCAGCCAGCCCAGGAGACCTCCAGAGGCACCAGCTCACACAGAGGGAACTTTGTGGAGGCCTGGCAGGCATGTGTGGGTCTGTGTTATCTAAGACTGTGTACCTAGGTGCACCTCTCTGTGAGACGGTCTCTCCAGGTCAGGTGCATGTGTCTGTGTGTCTGGCCCTTACTCTGTCCCTTGGTTCCCTTGCCTGGATCTGTGCCTCTGCCTCTGTATACCTGCCTCCGTGTGTACCTGTATGTCTCTCTGTAGCTCTCTTTATATCTGTCTCTCTCTGTGTCCCCATCTCTGAGTCTATAAGGGTCTCTCTTGTGTCTCGTTTCTCTCCCAGTCTATTTCTTTGTGTATCTCTGTATCAGTCTCTGTGTGTCTCTTTCTCCCTGTCTCTGTGTGTATGGGTCTCTTGTGTCTCCGTCTCTCTTTCCTCCCCGCTGTGTGTCCGTCTGTCCCCGTGGACGTGTCTCTATCCCCTCTCCGTGCGGTCTGTCTCTGTAGTTCTGTGCGTCTCTTGTGTGTGTCTGTCTTTGTGTGTGTCTCTCTTTCTCCCCGGCTGTGTCTCTGTCTCCGTGTGTGTCTATGTCTCTTCATCTCCGTCTCTGGTTTTCAACGCCCCCCATGCCCGTGGTGGGAGGGCCCCCTCTTACCTGAGTTGAGCCCGGTGCGCGCCCGCGGGAGGGTCCGGGGCAGCGGGATGCAGGGCGCCGACTGCTGCTCGGGAGCCTGCGGGCGGGGACGTCCCCTCCCCCCCACC